GAAAAGATAATTCATTATACTTGATTAAAGAGGTCAATCTATAAAATTAATAAAGTTAGAATTATAAATTTATAGTATTAACAGGACCTGCATATATTTATAAAGAAATATTCACACTTAATTAATAAACACAATAACTTTTTTCAGATGATATACACATACCTGCATCAATTTTTTGACTACATCCCTTCCCAAAATATGATCAAATACTGCCTGCAGGAATTGATCACTAATTATGCTTAATTTTAATTTGTCTCTATGCCATAATAATATCCTCGATTCTTCCATAGCTGTTATTGATACCTACACAAATAAATTATTATTTTCAAACAAAAGTATATTTCATAAAATTGTATGTAGGCAACTTATATATTTTTTAAATTTATATTTAAATAAATATAAATTTTTTTATAAGTTTATATTTAAAAGAACTAGAGGGTCTGGTAAAATGTATATAAACCAGAACAGTTTAATTTTCTACTTAAAACTTTATTTTCCAGGAAAACAACTTAAAATTTTCATTTAATATGCACTTACCTTAGTTTGATTTATTTTACTATGAAGAATCAAATTTCCATTCTAACTTTTATTTGTAAAACAAAATACGTATATTTTAGCTATTTTATCATTGTATAATAATTCAAAATTTAAGATATTCAACTAAAGAAGAAAATGTATAAAACTATAATAAAATAAAATCTGATTATACACTAACAAAAATGTACAAATTAATAATTTAAAATCAATATTTTTACAATTTGTTTGGTAATATAAAAAAATGAAATACTTAAGAATTTATTTTATTACCCAACAAATTTTATTTTATAAATTTATGTTTACAGATTCAATAATACCTGGCTATTCTATTACAAATATGAACTATAAGCAAGTCTTCTATGGTATATATTTTCTGATTTCATATGCCTAATACCATTGAATCAGAAATAAACAAACTACATGGTTTCCAATATATGTGAAGTGAAAGACCATCTTCAATGCATATTTAATTAAATGGCTCAAAGTTATAATATAATCTAATAGTGAAGTTTATTTATTAAATCAAAAACGAAACAAATTTAAACAAAGCTTTCAAATTGTTTTCCTTGAAATTTAAATCAAGTATAAAAAAATTATATTGCATTTTTTTACACCTTACAGATAATATGAAATTAAAGATTATAAAAAAAATTCATAAACCTGAAAGTATTCGTCTGTGGAGACACCAAACCATTCTGGAGAATCCAGGAACTGATGTGGGAAGACAATGTGCAATGCTCTTCCATTTTGTGAAACTACTAACCTAAAATACATTAAAAAATTTTAATTTTACTGTTTATTTAAAAATTTGATAAAATATTGATTAATATTTATAGTATAATTTAAGTTAACACTTCTTGATATACAACTACATTCTCTTATCATTTTTTATTAATTTTTCATTTAAATACAAAATATATATTTTAATGTAAAAAAATATAAATTTTATTTATTTAATTTTTGTGTTTACAGTACTAATATAAAAAACTTATACATATCTTTTTGTAATAATATCTTTACTTATTTATATTTCTTATCAAATTATAATTAATTAAAAAATAATTTACTAATGATTAATCTATTACCACTTATATTAAATAGTCGAAACATTTGTGATATATCCTTTAAAAAGCACATGTTTATATTTGTTTAATAAGCTTACTTCAATAACAATTTAAACAAGTTATAGTTTTAAAAAATTATATATGAAATGTAAACATTAACTATTATTTATAACATAAACTTACTTTCCAGAGAGTACCAACGATAAAGAATCGACTTTGGTCACTTTTTCTTGGGCATAAACTTCTTGATATTTCAACTGTCGAATAACCTTCATACAATTTAATACTTTTTTGAACTGATGACGTGATACTCTTAATGGCTGGAACACTGCAATATATACCTGTATGAAAAAGAATGAAATAAAATATGAAATTTATGTAATTTTATTGTAAACTATGTTGGTATATGCAATAAAAAAAAAAAAAGAAAAAAAAACATTTCAATTTCATTTTAATTTAGTAAAATTATTCTTTATTATATTTTTAGTGAATCAGATGATATATTGTATTTAAATATTTTATCCATTAAAAAAAAATATATTAAATTACTAATATCAAAAGCATTACACAAATTTGATGCCACAATAAAATTATACTGCTCAAATTGCATGTAAAAAAGTGCAAAAGAAAAGATTCTATGTAAAAAGCTTGAATTTAATGCAAATGCTATAGCCAAACACACAAACAATTTACTGTAATAAAAATTCTAATGTGTCTATCTATAGCAACTAAAATAAGAATATTACACCACCTAGAAAAAGTAATATTATATAGCAAATAAAATTTAAAAAAATAAAAATCTTGTGTATGTATATCTTTGTATTCTACATATATAGAATATTAATTTAGAAGTAGGAATACACTTCAATACTTACAAAAATATATTTCTATTATACCGTATCATATTAATTCACATATTACATATTAAATATATAATATTTTGAAATAATTGTGTAACATATCTATCTATTAATAGCACGTAATAATGTAAGTATTTTTACATTTAATTACAAAATATAATTATTTTTATATTTATTTAAATATTTTTGGCATGACATATATTTTATTTATATATTTATCTCATCCCAAATATTGAAATTTAAATACATTGGTATTTTATATAATTTTACAAATTCCAAAATCGTTAACATTTCAATACAGTATATATAAATAATATCTTGTGATATCAAGTTAAACAATCATTCCTTTTGATTCTTCTCTTAGCTTACCTCTTCAACTTCCCTTGAAAACTTGATAGGCCTGAGCTTGTAAAGAAGCGTGCATACATGGACGAAGTTGATGGCAACAAACAGAGCATTCCAGAGAGCAGCATCCAGCCAACAAGCTATTGTCCAGCCCCACAAAGCAAGAAAGGCACAGCCCACGAGCAGAGTGCACCTTAAATAAAGTACGCCATGTATGCCACTTGGTGCAAGGTGTGACAATAGAAAGAAGGCATTTGCTAGTTGAAAGTAGATGTGGTTCACAGAAATTCCTTGATATGGTTGGCAGGTAAGAACTCTGTACAGAAAAGTTGGAGGCACTATCGGCGAATGAGGAGAACTGGATCCTTGATTGACCACTGATAGACCAGTAGCTGTAAAGTATTTTTGTTTCAAATATTTGGTGAAATAAATTATATTTAAAACATAAAGCAATAATATAAGAATAAAATTTTTAATTGTAAACTTTTAAATATTGTTTCCTATATTAAAAAATATTTAAAGCAATTAAAGTGTTTAAATTAGTAAATCTACTCAATTAATTGCCATACATAGTACACTATAAATATAAGTATCATGTTATACATATGCATATACATACTAGCTCTATTGTCAGTGGTCACATTCCTACATTCGTCATCTTCATGGTGTGTTGAAACTGGTAGTGATATTTCCGATGTAACAGTATTATGAGGGACATTAAATGCAGCTGCATTTGTTAAGCTGCCATCAATACCAAAAGATGTCCAATACAGAAATATAAAAAATAAAATAGAAGCACGCCAGCCTTCTCGGCTTCCTATAGGATCAAAACAGATCCACATCCCCGCATCACCATCAAGCTAAATCAATTTCGTCTTACTCTATAATAACAAAATAAATAATTTTTCAATTACAGAAAAGTGTGAAAATTAAATATACATCAGATATAGGTACAATTAAAATTAATAATTATTATATTTCATACTTATTCATAGAAAATGTTAAATTGAATATTATATGCCACTTGTAAATATCCTGTCATTTTTCACATCTCTATTCTCAGCTAAAATTAAAGCTTGAAGACAAATACCATCTTGTGGACTTTGAATTAAAGAAAGGTATTTGCATTACCAACAGCTGCAGGAAGACTATAGAAACATCTGTAACATAAATATGCATATATAAAGCAAAAAGTATAATAGATGTTCTCTTCTATAAATTTATCATGTTTCCTATTTTAACAAAAATTTGTTATTTCATTTATGATAATACATATTGAAAAAAAATTTTTTTAAGATCATAAAAAATTGTCTAATAAAATGAATAATTATTTAAACTTTCATGTTCGATAGTATAATAGAATTGCTAATTAAAAATATCAAATTCTATTAAATGAAGAAATGAAGAATTGTTATTATCTGCAATAGTAAATTTAATATTATTTTATGAATTTATAAAAAGGATATTAATTTTAAATAAATATATTTTATGATGACTTTCATATGCAAGCGATCGTGAATATTGACGCATGTTATAAAGTATCATATCTAAATCAATAAATAACTTACTCATGGAAAATTTTAAAAGATGAAAACGTACGCAAGGCATACAGATGAAAAAGTAAACTATAACGTCAAGTAATTTGATAGTTAGAATAAACCGAACTCGTATACGAAACAAACTTGCTTATCTAATGAACGTCAAACTAGCAGAAAGACGTTACTTTAGCGAGGACGAGCAAAGACGACGGTAGAGAAGTAGGAATCAAAAAGGGGATAAAATAGGCCACGCGGCCCCTGATTTAAGGTTTGTTCAAAAATTTACTAACAAATACAAACGACATTTAAAATAAAATTTAAATCATTTTAACTGATATAAAAATTAATTATAAATAAAAATTTATGAAATATAACTA